GTCTGTAAAATATATTGATTGTCTGTAAAATATATTGAAAGTCTGTAAAATATATTGATTGTCTGTAAAATATATTGATTGTCCTTAAAACGTATTGATTGTCTGTAAAATATATTGTCTGTAAAATATATTGATTTTCTGTAAAATATATTTATTGTCTGTAAAATATATTTATTGTCTATAAAATTTATAGATTGTTTGTAAATCGTATTGATTGTTTGTAAAACATATTAACTGTATGTAAAATACATTGATTGTATGTAAAACACATTGATTGTCTGTAAAACATATTGATTGTTTGTAAGATATATTGTCTGCAAAATATATTGCTTGTCTGTAAAATATATTGATTGTCTGTAAAATATATTGATTGTCTGTAAAACATATTGATTGTTTGTAAGATATATTGTCTGCAAAATATATTGCTTGTCTGTAAAAAATTGTTTCCCTGTAAAATGTTTATGTTGATGGGCTGTTAAAATTTATTCTTTAGACTATATTATGAAATATATTTCTATTCTATTCATGTATTGTTTGTCTTTGAAATATATTGATTTTCTGTAAAAAATATATTGATATTCTAAAAACTATTTTATCTAAAAACAAATGAATCTTAGTGAACACTATTGATTTTCTGTAAAAATTATGGAGTTCTGTAAAAAGAATTAATGACTTTAAAATAAACTGATGTTGAAAATATGTTAATATATATATTTGTTGCCTGGCTGAGGTTGAACTGGTGATCTTGTTCTCGTAATTGGTCTAATATTTTTTAAAATTAAACTCTCTTTAAATATGTTTGCAAATTAATACAGTGATACCCAAATAGATTATCAAGTGCAATAGGTGGCAACAGATAAATGAACCAATTATACACGACGTAAGATAAGCACTAATATCTAAAAATATCACTATTATTAATAATTTGGTCGGACACAAAAACTTAGTTGACACTTGTGACGCCAGAATATAGCTGAACTGAGAGTGTACAAATTCTACGTTGCCATCTATTGTACTAGAATATATTTGGTGATACCTACCTAACTGTGGAATAGGATACAGATATTTAAGCAAGCTTACGTGTCTTTGAATTTGGTTTAAAGCAAATTATAGTTTTTCCAGAAAATCAACAATTATTTGTTGATATGGGTCTGTTTCATCATCATTTGACTTCTTATAATTATAGCTTTAGTCTAATTGTGCCTTCCTATTATGAGGTAAAATCCATAAGTTTCGCAAAAAATATTTAGGGGTACTTCTAGAAGTAATTATTTCAATTATTAATCAAATTAATCTGTATTATTTTGTGATCAGAAGGTAATACATATTAGTTTATATACAGGATGATTTTTAAAAGTCAATTTTTTTCATTTGTGCTTAGTTGGATGAAAATTCTACAATGTTGAATGAGAAAATTCCTAATTGTTTACCTTCTGTCTGACAATTGATAATTCCCAAAGAAATAATGGCTACACCCAGAAAAAAAGATTACAGATCTCCTTTAAACAGGTCAAACAAATAAGAAAATACGGCATTCATCAATGTTTTTCTCTATTTTCTCCATAAAATATTTTTTTTAAATTATGGATTCTGACCATTTGTAATAATTCTGAAGGACCCTTGATATATGAGAAGATCTTGTAGCATACGATTCCAGCAATTAAAATATTAAATTTGTTCTCCATGTGATGTGAAAAAGTCAAATTGTCCAAATTCAAAGTGTGGAAGTTGTTTGAAATTGATTAACAATGCTGGTTATAATTAATTTCTTTATCAAATGTCATGTAATAACGAGTAAATATTGAAATTAACTTTTTTGTAAAACTACCCAAAAGTACTTCAACTTCTCCTTTTTTAAATTGATTTAGACTTTTTTCTTTTGTAAATTTTGAATATTTTCAAATGTTGAATGTTTAATATTCCAGCTGGTAAAACACTGGTTTAAGTTAAGAAAAATATCTCAGGAGAATTGTTTTAACCAACCTTAATTAGTTACTCTACCTACATCGTTCATAAATTCTCATTTAATAAAACGTGCATTTAGTATTAATAAGCATTACTACTTTCAAAATAAATTTTTAAAAATTCCTTATGAACACATCATCGTCTTCTTCTGGTAGAGGGGGAGGTTTAAACTGTGGAGGCGGCGGTATACGCGGAACCCCAGGACCGGCTGACCGCTGTCTTGACCTCAAACTCATTCTTGCAATTTTTTTGGTTAAGAAGAATTGTTTCTGCGTCACATGCAGTCTAAGCTAACTGTTGATGCATGTCCGAGGAGCACGTGACCGGAGAGTTGCTAACGGCATGTCTCTTAAGCTACTAGTGCGGGAAGTGCGGTCAGCCCGCTACAGAGAGCTTTCTCTTTCCACTTGCTTAGGAGAGGGGAGAGGAACTGCCTTGGGATGAATGCAGGTGACCCAGCACGGCACAAGGTGCTAACAAGGAGGAAGAATAAAAGGAGGGGGAGG